GTCAGAGGCGTCAGGCCTGGGCAAGGGGCCGATCCTGCGATTGGAGATTGATGGGGGTCAATGCCTGAGGGCTCCCAGTATGTGAGAGGGGGCAGGCTGGGCTGAGGGACACTCCCCCCCCAACCCACCCAGTGCACGAATTTCATGCACCGGGCCCCTTGTAATTTTTATAATGAATTTACAAGTAATCCAAATACCCATCAAAAGGGAACTAGTTAAATAAATTAGGGTACAATCATGTTATAATACCACACAACATTTTAAGAGAAGCAAGATAAATCTCCATGCACTGATATGAAAAAAGAGTCACAAGATGTTGAGTGAAAAAGCATATTAAATTATAGCTTGTACAACATTAGTCTTTTTGTAAAAAAGAAAAAGACCTATCACCATGTCCCTCCTAGTTGTATATTCACAGAAAAATACATCATCAATTTGTTTATAGCAACTACTTCTGGGAATCTGAGGATGCCCAGAGATACCTTTTCCTTGACACAAACCATGTTTTTATTGATTTTAGAGAGAGAGGAAGGGAGAAACATCAACATCCTGCATGCCCCCTGCTGGGGATCAAACCTGCAGGAGCCCTGACCCAGAATTGAACCTATGACCCAATATCCTTAATAAAAACTTCAATAAGAAACAAAATGTCCAAAGGTTAACTCTCTAGTAAAAGAGAAAGGACAGAAATTTACATAGTGAAATTTAAACCAGGTAATCAAACCCTGAATAAATTAGAAGATTAGAAAATACTATTAGGTTGTAAATATAAAAGGTGCATCCTTAAGGAAAAATGGCCAGTTTAAAAATGATGAATTAAAAAGTCATGTTTATCATTCTCGGCTCCACACTCACTCTCAGTATGAGAAAAGGGGGTATGATTATTACAAAATTTCACTATTCATTCTAAAGTCTTTAGTTCCATTAAACAAACCAGTTTTTCCACGTGTACATCAAAACAAATCAGTAAAACTGGTTTTGAACACAAGGAAAAAGGGCGGTTGCCATAAATCTGTTTAAAGGAATGAAGTAAGCCTATGATCTTTATTTACTCTAATATAAAGCCCCACAATTAAAAGTTTAGCTTCTAGAACAGTGTTTGGCTTCTCATAAACCAGAGAAATAAAATTATAGTTCTGTCTTCCACACATCCTAGAGAAAACTTTTTCTCCAGATAAGCATGTCCCAAATGCCTATGTGGCTAAAAACAAAGGTGACAAAACTACAACTGAAAAATAATTGCAAGGAACTCAAAAATAATTAGTACTGGCTCTGTGTGCCTACAATCAAGAAAAGACTGCTATCAGAAATTAACCAGGGCAAGAAGGGAATCAACAAACCTTAATGGAAAGTTTAACATTTTTATTTGAATGAGGCAAAGGTTACAGTTTTCTTGTTTTCCCCCAAAACATTAGGGCACCTAATAGCTATTTAGAGAGAAAATTGTATTATAAAAGGGTAAGACTATTTCATCAGATAATTAATTGAATTTACTCTGGGAATCTGTTACCTAAAAAAAATATGCTACTGTTAAGAAAAAAACACAGAACACACCGCAACTCCCAATGCTTAAATCTCCCATAATAAACATAAAACTACACTATGGAAAGGCTTGATATTAACCTTCATACAAGTTAGAATTTTGTGTGCATACTATTACTGAGTACCGCCCTAGGTACTGGAATTCCACAGTGAAACATGATCTCTGCTCTCATGGAGCTTACATTCTACCATACAAATAAGATGCAACGTGAATAGGGCTAAATGGCTTCTTGGAGGACATGACATTTGAGTTAAGACCTGAATGACAAGGAAGAGAAAGCCATGTGACAATCTGGGAACAGAATTCCCCAAGCAAAGATAATACAAAATGTAAGGGTACTATAAGATATTTTAATGAACTGTCTCTAAATCAGTTTTTTTAAATATAATGTTTGTTGATTTCAGAGAGGAAGGGAGAAGCAGAGAAAGATAGAAACATCAATGAGAGAATCATTGATCAGCTGCCTCCTGCACTCCCCGGGATTGAGCCCGCAAACAGGGCATGTGCCCTGACTAGGAATCAACCCCGTGACCTCCTGGTTCCTAGGCTGACGCTCAACCACTAAGCCACACCAGCCGGGAAAGATCTTTTAACTACACTTCAGTGACATTCCATCATGCAAAATAAAGTCAAATGTGGCTGGCTTGCAAAGCCGTCAGGAATTCATGCAACTCACCTGTAGATCCTATTAAACTAGAGATTCTGATTCAGTGGTCTGTAATGGGGCCTGAGATTCCCTTTCTAGTAAGTTCTGCAGACCACACTTTGAGTAGCAAGGATCTAGCTCAAGTTCATACCTCACACCACTCCCACACGGTGAATTA